GGGGGGGGGGGGACCGCCACCTCACTCACCGGCCGCCGCCAGCAGCGCCTCGGTAACCAGGAAGTGCGGGATGCGCTGGGAAAGGTAGTTCAGCCTGAGGCCTGGAGGCGGTAGGAACTACAAGTCCCAGGAACCCTCACGGGGCCTTCGCTTAGGAGGAGTCCCGGGGCTGGAAGATGAAGGAGGAGAGCGCACACGTGCGTCCGTGTCGGTAGTGGTTGGGGCAGGAGCTGGAGCCGCCGGCCGCGGCGCCGCTGCCTCTTCCCGCGGCCATTTCTCATTGGCTAGTACAAGACCTCCGGGGCGGGGTCTCCGAGCTCTGCGCGGGCCTCGGCGGCTGAAATGGAGGAAGACGGTCCTAACTTTAGGAAGGTAGGGGCTTGTCTGCGCTCTGGGGAGCTGAGCGCTCCCGGAGGCTGCGGAGCCAGAATGGGACGGGGACCGCTTGGGGCTGGGAAAGGGCGCAGGAGAGGGGACTTATTTGGAAAACAGAGTCCGGGGGCTTTCTTCTGGGGAAAAAAATAATGATCTTCCTAAAGGTCGGGTCTGACCTTGGCTCCTCCCACGCCTCCATAAACTGCGGTGGTTCCCTATTACCTTCAGATCAAATACAGAATCCTCCTTGCCTTTGAAAACTCCCTCCTCAGTCTCCCTAGACCTGACTCCGCTCCACAAACGCTGACCCTCCTTGCTGCTGCGCGCACTGGACACTCCATCTCCCTCCTCCTTGGCTACCTTCACGTCCCAGCTAAATCTCACCTTCTACGGAAAGCCTTTCCTTGTCCTGCGTAGTATTAGTGCCCTCCTTCTGTGGATTGTCGCAATTGAGGAAAATTATTTTGTCAGCTATGTGAACTAGAGACTGATTAGGGACTACTAAAATAGTCTAGTTGGTGAGGGCATGAATTGAGGTTGTTATAGTCACAGGAGATGTTCAAGCAGAATCAACTGGATTTGGCAACTGATTGTAAGTGGGAGGGAGGGAGGGAGTTTGTGGTTTCTTCAGCAGAATTAGGGAAGATTAGAGAGGAGCAGCTAGGTGACTCAGTGGAG